TTTATAGCTTCTCGATAATTTGAGGGATCTTCATTTATGTTTGCTAAAAGTGCATGATACACTTCATCTTCCTTTTGTGCTAAATCTATCTCGCCTACACTACTGATAACACTAGTGAAGAAAACATTTCCTTTCATGTTCTCATCAATTTCCAACTCTGAAAAGCTAACTTCATTTATTATTTTATCTTTTATGTCAACTGTTTTCAATTTCTTGATAGTGTTTTGTTCTGAAACTTCTTTCTTNTAGTGAAAGACAATCATCAATTTACTTAGACATTCAACTATTAAAATTTCCAAAGTGTGTAAATAGTTTTGACAAAGTGGTTCGATCCCACAAAATAAAGTGTGGTTTTTAAATCCGGCTCATAAGTAATTTTCCCAACAACTCCCTCCACATTTTCATCCCACATCCACCCTAAATNCTGGCTTTAAGAGTTGATACCCTGTTGGAGTATATCCAACCAAGACCATACCTACACCTCGAGGTCCAAACTTTGGAACAGTGTTTCTAGCAATTTTTACATAACTTAAGCTATCGAATCTTTTGATTTCATTAATGTCAAAGCTGTGATTAGGCGCGAATCTTTCTAAAGGAGTTATCATATTGTTTGNGTATAATGAAAATTTGACTACTAGCCACAGATTCAGAGATATTCATCAAACATCCACCTGAGGGCTATTGCGTTGAGCGCAGCAGGTGGTTTGAATAAGTTGCGCATGGCGCCAATCACGTGACTCATGGCACTGTCGCAGGGAGGGTACCAGCTGACGCGGTGCGCCGACTGCTCCGAAATTGCTATTATAATTTATAATAAATTAACGGTACATTTTGGGCTATAAGTTCCTAACTCCCCCCGATAGGACATTTTCTCAGCTACAAAGAAATATTTTTTTTTCCCATCTGATAAGGTTAACTAACGATATCTAGGATTGAAGACGGCCTGTCGGCAATTCCCAATTGTTTATAACAAATTGTGAATCACCCCGGCAAATTTGAGCATATACTTTTTAAAACATTAATAATTACACTTTTAGCTATCGATTGGTGTAATTTGGTGCCCTTTGGTTAATTTCGATGTAAAAAATCTAATTTGACTGGACTATAACCAGAGTCCACTGTATGAAGTATTCTTCGTCAAGTGGAACACATATTTCCATCATATCCGTAAATTCATTTGACACTTGTCCTTTTACACGGTATGAAAATCATGGTAAAAAAATATAATGTAGTTGATAATTTCCACGCATATAATTTATTCCCCGTAAACGAGACGCTCATTGTTATTCAGATACTATTTTTTCACGTTATAAAATTACACTGTTCTTTGTCAGCTCTCACGTGAAAAAAGCTAGCGAATCATTAATGATGAGGTGAGGCCACGAGTAGGATATTTTGAAAATGCAGCCAACTTTATGGAAATTTTTTTCACATCTTATTGAATCCCTTGCAAAATTTCAGAAACCCCAGGTACGAGACAACAATAAAAATTCATTCGAAATTTGTCACGTATACATGAGTTTAGAAGGAGCATTGATAATTTCATTTTTTACCACATTGCCAAATGGTCGATAATGTAGGGAACATTTTCATAAAATAGACAGCATTTTTTAAATATCCTACCTACTCCTCGCCTGAACATCGTTAAACAAGGAAATAACAAAATTGGAAATTTTTTTCCGCTATGACGTGACTGATTACGGAAGAATAATGGGAAAAAATAATCAACGTTTATGTTATCTCCGAATTTTGCCAACATGAACTACTGAGGGAATAATGCTGAGTTGCTTTTGCTAGCTCAAGCATTGTACATTTTATTTTCAGGTGCCATATTTAGTAATTGGTGAACATTATTTTTATAGACAAAGAATTATTATTGATTATATTTCATCCAATGAAAATGTTTGAAGATGTAAATTCTCAAGAAAACCACATTTGAGATCAGATTAAGTTATTCAACAGAACAAATCAAGTATATTCAAATTCCATACGTCGGATTTTCCGGAAGGCCATATCGAATACCCAATAAATATTTCGTTCAAAAATAGTAAAAATTGTAGTACTAGATAAGTTTTTACTAAGCAAAAAAAAATAAGAATGACGATTTTCTGTAGGAAAAGCTAAAAATAATAATAACTTGATGTAGATCTTTATCATAGACGGCTCAATTAACGA